CCCAGCGGCAACACCTACCAGGGCTACTGGGCTCAGGGCAAGCGGCACGGGCTGGGGGTGGAAACGAAGGGCAAGTGGATGTACCGGGGGGAGTGGTCACATGGTTTCAAGGGGCGCTACGGGGTCCGGCAGAGCCTGTGCACCCCCGCTCGCTACGAGGGTACCTGGAGTAACGGGCTGCAGGACGGGTACGGCGTGGAGACCTACGGGGACGGAGGTGAGCGGCGTCGCGGGCGGCTCAGCTGCTCCACGAGACGGTGCGGTGGGCATTGCCCAGGCTGCGGGGAAGCGGGGAGGACGCGAAGCGCACATGTCCAGAAACCCGCCAAAACACCTGGGGAAGCTTCCCACCCACTTCCCGCGCCCTCCCTCCCCCGGGAGGGTGCTTTGGGATGGGACTGGTGCGTGAGGGTTTAGTCTGACCCCGTTCTTATAAGCGGGCGATGTGTCCACACCCGGGGGAGTGAGGCGTGAATATACCTGGCCGGCGCCAGCGCTGCACTGCCACCAGGAGGGAGCGCCGCCCGGGAGGGTTGGGCTGGAGAGAGGACGCTGTCACTTGAGCCCGTCTCATTACGTTCCTGATCCCTCCCTCTCCCGGCCGGGTTTGAAATCACCACTCCCGTGGAGTTAGAGCGAACGCCCTGAGCTTGTGAGGCTGCCGGTCTGTGCTGACGGCTCCTCGGATTGGTTTCACGTGGAGTCTCGTATTTCGCATTTGGTCCTCTAGTAGCCTAAAGATAGAAGGCAGAACCCCATAACTAGGATGTTGGGGAATTCAACCTTATTTAGGGTGCATTTGGGAACGTCCTGATCAAGGGAGCAAAGAGGCCACCTGATGCAGGTGGGATTCAAGTGGTGTATGTTTTTCTTTCTAGATTTCTTTTGCTTCCTTAAAAGTAATCTTTGCAGACCATTGGACAAATTAATGGGAAAATATTTTAGAAATGGGCAGTGAAGTTTCCATTTTAAAAAAATTGAAAGATGTGTTCCTATAGCTGCAAAGTTAGCAACAATTTTGCTTCTGAGAATGTCATTACTGAAAACTGATTTGCATTAAGGTGTTGACCTAAACAGTATTCCTGACTGTGAATCAAAATCACCTTATTTTAATATTTAACAATATTTGGGAAAGAAATTTTGTATACAGTAGGACAGAAGTTCCTTTTTTAAATTGGGAAAAGTATACATTATTGAAACAGGTGTCAAAAGTTGAATTTGTATGCAAAACTGAGAAAGATGAATGTCATGCATTGGCAAGGTACACTTTCTGATAATAAACATGATCATATTTAATTGAAAAGGATTGTGTGGAGGCGATCACCTTTTGGAATTAAGCCGCTCAGAGTTAAAGGATATTAAAGGGATCCAATTAAAAGTTTCTCCAGCCCACTGCAACCCCAGTTATGCCATTGCTTATATAAAAGCTTATACAATTTGTACACTTCACTTACTCAGAATACTTGGGCCCTGTTTCAAATGCAAAACAGCAGAATGGTAGGATTGGCTAAAAAGGACATCTTTTCATCCTACAGTATAAATAAAAGATATGGTTCTCATGGATTAAAAAAAAAAACTTTAATACTTTTCTGTGTGCTGTATGAGTCCTGAATTCCATAGTAGATAATCAGGGCCCCTTAAATGTTCTCAATGGACATAACATGCCTTGGTTGACAGCCCTATATTTGTTAATTTGTGACTAGATTTTTATTGGAAGCCCTAGCTCTACTACATAACTGAATTCCATGCTCAAAAGTGGATTGCCAAATTTACTTTTTAAAAGTGGACATTATTTTATAACCCTTTTAGAAGACTGTGAATAGTTCTCTCACTTCAGTTTTAAGTTAAAAATAGTCTCCTTTTTAAGTTACTAGTCATTAAAATCTCTTGGTAGAGTATTCATTATACCTGGTAATCAAAATATATATAGCACAGTAAGATCTATCTATGTATGTGTTATAGAAACCAAATAAGTCTTCAGAATGACTTTGTGAATCTGTCTTCTGTTTATTAACTCAGCCTTAAAATTTGATATTGCCATAGTACTGTAGTTTTCTACCTAAAACCCCAAAATCCTAATGTGCTACAAATAGAAATTAAAATAAAAAAACTTAAAAAATCACTTTTGAATGTCAACAACACTCTGCTGTTGACTGTTTTTTCCCTCAGATGTCACTTCATTAGAAAAATCCTTTAATAATAAAATGGTCTAAATGGAAGTATATTGCTATAACTTATTTTTGGTCAAAGTAGGAATTATCACTTTCCCTATTCTTCTAAAGATAAGAGTTATTTTTGCCTCCATTCTCTGTACCACCACATATTCATTCCTGTACATCTTCTTATAGATTTAGGGAAAATTTAATTCTATGTATTTTATGGTAACATTGCACTAAAGGTTAAGAAGGAAGTAGTGATTCCATCTGAAAGTTATCAATTTATTAGTGATTTGTGTGTGAAGTATTGCTGAGCTAGAAACCCCTTGAGTGTTAATTAAGAATAAATTAGCAGCATACTCCAGAAATCCAAAGCTAAGGTACATGGAATTTTTTGTGCATATTCTGATCTACTGTACTGTTTTTTTCACTTGTCATAAAACTATTGAAAATATTTAGGAATACCCGTTATTTTGTTAACTATCTTTGTAGCATATAAACTTAAGTTTGGCACGGAGCAGTCCAAATTTGACTGAATTTCATTCTGAACTGGATGCTTTCCACTACAAGAGTGTGCAGTTAAAACAGCTAGATCTAAAAAATCAGTTCCAAAGTGAACACAATTTAAAACAAAACCCATAAAAATAATTTTTATGCTTGTGAAATTTGCATCTCTATTTTAGGAATCAAGAGAAACTAATTACAACTTTATTTGAGCAGCAGGAAGAAATTGGAACCCACCTGCTTTATAAAGAAATAGGCCCTTTTTTCTAGGTTCATTGACTAAACTAAATCTATTTTAAATTTCAGATGAACTACTTGCAATTTGACTGTAAAATGGTTTCTAGCAATGCCATGGAGGAATTCTTTCATACTGTGATTTTACAAAATAGGGGGGGATTGTGGCCAATGCTGCTATTCCTGCCCCCCTCCCTATTTGACAGTTAAGCAAAGATTTAAACTTTCTAATTATTGCTCTTGCTTTAAACAGCCTAGATTTTCAAGCAATACTTCTTTAGAAATTCCATATACTGATCTTATTTTGGAGATACTAACTTGAGGAAACTTGCTATTAATTGTCCATCAATGTTAAACATTTACCAAGATGATTATGTTTTAAGAAGTGTAAATATGTATTGATATCACACAATATTTTTATAAACTGTCCTGGCAAAACAAACATTATGTAGAAAAGTTAAAAGAATATTATTATAGTGATTTTAAATATTAAAATAAGGTGGTTTGTTTTACTGTACATGTATCAGATTATATAACTTTTATCCTAGAATTTAGATTTTATCTATATAGGCAAAGTCAAAGGTGAACTTTCCTAATAATTCAGTTCCCTTTCCTGTTGTGGCAGTGTTTGGCAATTGCAAATATTCAGTAGGAAGCTTCTTACCCTAAAATGTTATTATACAACTATCCTTTTGGGTTTATCCTTTTGAGAAAGCTATGGTTCACCCATCCCTTTAGAAGTTCATAGATGTCAGGTTAAGAGCACATCTATGAAGAATATAATATTCA